TGAGGTGGGTGGGGAGTGAGAAGGGGGTGATTGGGAAGGGGATGAGGTGGGTGGGGAGTGAGAAGGGGGTGATTGGGAAGGAGAGAGGGACAGGTAGGGAGGGGGAGGAGATAGAGAGGGTGAAGAATGGGAGGGTGTTAATTGGGGAGGTGAGAGGGTCAAGTCGGGAGGAAGAGGGGTTGATTGGGGAGGGGAGAGGGTCGGGTGAGGAGGGGGCCATGACGGAGGGAAGGGAAATGATTAGACTTGTGTGTGTGAGGGGGTATATACAGGGCTATCCGCTTGATAGAACGTACGGGTTGTTGTTCTGAAAATACTGTTCTCAGAACATTGTGTTGTTCTCGGAACATGTCTATTATTCTCGGGATGATGCAGCGTTGTTTTATAAGAAGGCAGTTCTCCGAATAATGTGCTGTTCTTAAAACGATTTTCCCTGGATGTTTTCCCTGTTCTTCAGATGTTCTCCCTGTTCTTCAGACGTTCTCGGAACATCGCGCTGTGCAAGTAAATGCAACGTCGAACATAAAACGCTCTGCCGCGTTGTTCTCGTGACGCGACGGCGTTCTTCGCGGAACCTTCCGTTGTTCGCGAAACCTAACCCCGTTGTTCTCTCTCTCTGTCATCGCCCGCCGCCGACATGCCTGACCCCCGTGCGGAGCAGAATGGTTCGATCCTCGAGGCCCTGCTGATGTGGAGGCGGAACGTGAGCAAGCACTTTGAGGGGGTGGAGGAGTGCATGATTTGTTTCAGCGTTCTGCATGCGTCCAACTACCAGCTGCCCAAGTTCACGTGCAAGACATGCCACAAGCGTTTCCACAACGTGTGCCTGGTGAGTCAGGGGGAGGGTGAGGGTGAGAGCGATTGTGGGAGGGGGAGGGGGCGGGGAGTTTTTTTTTTATTGAGGGTGGGTGCTGATTGAGGAACGGTGGGTGGAGATTGGTGGAGGGAGGGAGGGGGAAGGGGGAAGTTCACGAGCAAGACCTGCCGCAAGCGTTTCCACAACGTGTGCCTGGTGAGTCGGTGGGAAGGGGAGGGGGTGGAGGTGGAGGGAGTGTGGGTGGTAGGGGGAGGGTGGGTGTGCTAAGGAGGAAGGTCGGGGGAGAATAATCAAGGAAAGAGAATGTTCAAGTTTACATGCAAGAGCGCATGCTACGGTGGGGCCATCTGTAGGACGCTAACTGAATCGTTCTCGTGTATCTCCGCAGTACAAGTGGTTTAGCACCAGCCAGAAGTCGACTTGTCCCATGTGCCGCAGCGAACTCTAGCCACCGCCGGCGCCACCTGTGTGCGATGTGCCGCAGCGAACTCTAGCCACCGCCGGCGCCACCTGTGTGCGATGTGTCGCAGCGAACTCTAGCCACCGCCGGCGCCACCTGTTTGTGATGTGTCGCAGCGAACTCTAGCCACCGCCGGCGCCACCTGTGTGCAGACTCGGCCGATTAAATCCACGATTCGAATAAAAAACTAAATAACCTTTTCGAGCCTCTCCCATTTTCGATAAATTTCGCATAATCTATCGCTGGTTTCTCGATGCGGACAAATTCCTTCTAAGAGTCGACGGTTACGCCGGCAGCCCGCTTTTCGTTCGCCACAGGCCGGGCGCCGGCAGTGGGCTAGAGTTGCTGCAAGCACAATCGGACACAGTGGCGGCCGGCGGGCTAGAGTTTCGCCTGCGGTGCAATCCGCACCACAGGGTGCGCCCGCGGTGGCATGAGTTCGCTGCGAACTAACGCACACAGGTGGCGCCGGCGGTGCTAGAGTTCGCTGCGGCAACATCGCACACAGGTGGCACCGGCGGTGGGCTAAAGTTCGCTGCGGCAAAACATCAACACACAGGTGCCGCCGCGTGGCTTAGAGTCGCTGGGCGCATCGCAAGGGGGCGCCGGCGGGTGGCTAGATTGCTGGCGACATCACGACACAGGTTGGGCCCGCCCGGCCGGTGGCTAAGAAGTTGCGCTGGCAAGCACAGATCTGCAACAGCGAGGTGCGCCGGCGATGGCAGTAAGTTCGCTGCGACACATCGGACACAGTTGCGCCGCGGTGGCTAGAAGTTCGCCTGTGGCGCATCGCACACAGGTCCCGGCCGGTGCGTAGAGTGTCGCTGGCAGCCATCGCAACACAGTGGGCGCCGGCGTGGCTAGATGTCGCTGCGGCACAGTCGCACG